CATAGCATATGTACCATAATGATTGTAACATAGTGATTAGTTAATAATTCTTTTTGATGGATAATCTGTTCTCAATGCCCCGAAGTTATAGTGCTTAGTTCAGTCAGTGAGAACCTAATGGGGTCTGTTTAAGTTTGGCATGGAGCGTAATTCGCGGATTTGGTTTGCTTGATTAGATTGACATAGTAGTACAATTAAATTGATATGCACAACAAAATGAAAGAAGGAAGATGTTCATATTATTATTAATGCATTGATAAGAGAAATCCAGCAGTAAATAAAACCATGAAGTGTAATGTGGTTATGGTCTCCTATTTACAACGAATAAGGGTTACTATTGTTAATGAATGCATAAAATAATAAGCATCTAATAAATAATATTTGTAGAATGCCCACGTACCATGCATAACTACATTTGTATCAACATGATAATAAATCAAGTCAATGCTGAAACTTTTATTAAAGTTCATCATCTAATTCTATATTATTCTCCATGAGTAGAAAATCTTATTTGTTGATGGACTTCTGATGCCAAATCAGGGCATCCCTCGCTGTTTTGGCGCTGCAAAATTTCTGCAAATGATCGAGCACTTCTTCTTGACTGGTGGTGCAACTTGTAACTGTAACTTGTCATCCTTCTCTATTGATGTAAGATTTTTTGGCCCTTTTAACTAATATAAATATGCCTTAACTATTATTATGTACTTTTATTCTTAACAAGGAAAGAAACATTCTCCATAGGTTACTGCCTCGAAGGAAAATTGTGAGGCACTTCTCAATGATCGGTCCAAGGCTTTGGATGGAAATGATACGAGCAGTTTACAGATTTCATTAGGTGGCTTATCTTTCCGAATCTCGGTAAGATTCAATGTCAGTTTCAGTTATTGATTCTGTGATGCATTCTTCTGTCTTCAATTTCAACCAGGTACTTACCCAAAAAAAAAAATTGACCTGTTTGATATATTCATTTGATTTCTCTCTCCTTATTGCAGGTGTTTGAGCAGATCCCAGGCACTCTCTTTTTCAAAGGATCATTATTAGATAGAGAAACTCCTCTTTCAGGCAAATGTCTCCCTCTACATTTCTATTTGAAGTTCATTATAAAATATTTAGCTTGAACAATATACAGACTCTGTAATTGAGTTAGTTCTATCTCCTGTTTGGATGGTTGTTTTCTCTAGATTTAGGTTGATTAATGTATAGTCTCTCTCTCTCTCTCT